TTCAGTTTGGTTAAAAAAATTTGACACTTTTTTCTTTTTCTTTCATGTCAACAACGCAAAGGTTTAACAGATTTACATGAATATTTCTATAATAGCCTTTTTGACTTTTCAGTAGTTTTCACAACTTGTTCTTGTTACAGTTCTTATACATCTGTACAAACTTACAGCTAAATCGTTTTCTTGATACCAAACCTCCCGAGTTTTCTGATGCTATTTATTTATGTATTTTAAATGCCAAGGAAAACTGTTCAAAGGAATTGATGCTTACTGACTAAATGGCCTCTACCATGTACCAGCTGAATCTTTTTTTTTTTTTTTTTTCCCCTTTCTTAGCACTTGTCATAATTCTACAGGCAGATGCCCAGAATCTAGGTCAGGTTGTTGTTTTTTTTTTCTGAAATTCTATTTTGCTTCTGTTCTGCTTTCAGTAGCACACACAAATTATAAATAACTCCTCTGTGGTGTTAGGTGAAGAAGAACCAAGTCTAGTTTATGCAATAGTGGAAACCTGAATCACTGCAGAGAGATTAAGGTTCTTGAATCCTATTGAATTGCTAATGGAAGTATCCCCACCCAAGAAATTCTTATTTTAAATGACCTTTTAGGTTAATCTTCAAATGTGATCATTCACTCAATAGACAAGTCCTAAAGATTTTTAATTTTTAAATAAAAACTGTAGAAGGTCTATTTTTAAAAGTTAGCTGCTTAGTTAAATTCTGTTATAAGTGAGAAAGGTTGATAAGCTGTAAAAAAAAAAAAAAAAAATCATATTGCAACTGAAATTTCTTAAAGCAAATACTTTAAAACTTCATTTTGCTTTAATGATTTCATATATAAGCTTGCAGGAAATTCCAAAGGAGTGGGAGTGGAGCAGTTATATTCAAGCATCAGATATATTTGACGACTGGTTAAAATTGGCAGATTTTCTGTTTTTCTTATTGATGCTGCTCAGACTTTACTGCTACTCCCTTCACCACTTGCTTTTTTTCTTTTTCTTTTTTATACTAGCATGATTTCTGACAAAAGTGATCAATAAACATCAAATTTTAAATTTGAATAAAAGTTTTTGTTTTTGTTTTTTTGTTTTTTTTAGCAAGTTTTTGCACTAAATTTATGTATTGAAAATTTAAATGAATTGTCAGTGGTCAGGAATTAATGCAAATATCACTAACATAATAGTGCTATTGTGTATGTGTGTGTGTGTATTACATTCAACTTTATTTTTAGTGGATACTCCTATTTGAGCAACTGCTCCATTTATTTTAAACAGTATTTATTTTGTTTACTGATCTGCATACTTGGGGGGAAAAAAACCTGTGCTGCAAAAGCATGCCGGATCAGATGGTGGTTCCTCCTGCAAAGGGAGACGCTGGTTTGAATCCTGCCAGAAGGTACATGTTCTTAAGCGTTCATGAGCAATGCAGGCTGATAGAGGAAATAGTGTTAAAATTTAAACAGTATTTTCTCAAATACAGATATCCACTAAAAATGATATTTGTTTAAAGTAATAACAATGATATTGGATTACAAAAATAAAATCCATTATTTCTTTATAATTTCATATATAACTCAAAATATATCTGTAAAAGGACAATATCAATAAAAACAAAAGGAAAACTTATCCTTACTTTCATGGACTTTACTAAGGTAAATATAAGGATTTTATTTTGCAACAATTATTTATAAACAAAAGGAAAAGTTTTTCAAAATTTTAAATTTAAGTGCTCAAATAAATATACATCAGACTAACTGAAAAGTCTTGGTAAATTATGGAAGATGCTAAGTGACATAATTTAACGTCTAATATACAAGTGTGTAAATGATGTTGATGGATTTTTTTTTTTAATTAATATTTATGTGACACTGGTAACTGGAAAGAAAAGGGTTAAGTTAAAAATATAAACTTGGAACAAGATGAAAAGGGTTAAAGAATAGAACAATAGACTGAGAGAAAAACCAAAATTGCTTTTAATTTGAAAATTTAAGACAGGCTTTGAAGGAGGCTGGGCTGACAAATGATTGATGGCACTGCTTAAAGTGGAATTTACAAAAACACCAATTGAGAGATAAAATTTGGTAATTTTGAAGACTGGGCAGAATTGAGAAAACTGGTTTAGTCCACCTATCAAAAAATGGAAATTGTAAACATGTCGAGAAAATAAAATTTCTTTATGTAAGGATACAACCCAGGGTTCTTAAAGTGTGATGATCCTAACAAGATGGAGAGATAACCTGACTGGAGGAAATAGCTGGTAAATTTCTGATTTATTGTATAAACAAGATAAGGCTGTGAAAAATTTGCTGATGAGAAATTAAAATAATTCTAATTAATGGCCAAAAATTAAACCATTCCACGCAGTTTGAGAACCAGACTTGTCAAAAGGACATCCATTGTAAGAGGCATAGGTGAAATACCAAGGAGGACGGCAGAAATGCCTACGTCCATTGGGAGGTATTGGTACGAGACACAAATAAGAGAAGGAGATATCAAGGCACATCGATACCTGTGACCACTGCCTACAGAAAAAGGGATCTCTCCAAATTTGAAGATATAATTAATTTTCCAAAGCCAGACAACAAAAAACTCTTGTTGGAAAATAGGAGAAATACTGGGTCTCCTAACCACGTCAACCCCCATACCAGTTTTGAGTGAAAGTTAATGTAAGCAGAACACTGAAGCAACCAGGAGAGTTCCAGAGTTTCCAGTTGGAGTGCAGATGACAGGAGATGACTCCTTTGCTGAATCCCACATGACTAGCTGTCAGGCCAACTTCTGACTTCAGCTTGTTCCAGACATAGTTAAATTGAGCAAAGTGTTACGATAGAATTCAAAGTGGGAAGGGTTAATATTTCTGTACAAAGAACAATATAAACAGCATAGAAGTAGACCCTGGAGAAATTCCTATCTTTATTTTGTCTGCAAAAATGTTTTTATTTTTCCTTTGTGACATAGCTTCACCAGGATCAAACCACCATTACAATTGTTGATAACTTGAGCTTTGCCAGCTCCATGATCAATCAACACAACACGGGCACAAATCAAATGACCATCTCCAATGGCCAACAGCAAAATCAACCAGAAACCAATCAGCAAGACGTGTTGCATATATTTAATATTTATATTTTTGTTTGAGATTAATTAATGTATTATATATTTTAAATAAAAGGAGGTTATGAATTTAAGTTTTCTTTTAATAGTTTAATATTTTTATAGATACGTATGTTGGTATAATTTTTTTTCAGGAACTGAGATATTTTGAAAAATCTGGTGCACTTATTTGTTTTAGATATAATTTCTGGGAGTTTATAGTTATTAAAATAAAAATTGATAAAATCAGTTTTGTTTACTGTTATTGATATTTACTAATCTTAGCCAAGTACAGCACAAGCCTACAAGTGTTAGTCACACACTGAGGTTGCATGTTAGAATAATCATTTTTTTTTTTTATATACAACTTTGCTTGCAATTCAAACAAAAATTAAAACCTTGATATTTAAATTATTGCAGATTACATATTAAAAAAAAAAAAAAATTTGATATATTATTGCTTATAAGCACTAATATTTTTGCTTGCATAATATTATAAACCATAGTTTCCTCAATTTTTTTTATCTTTTCAAAATATAAAACAAATAATTGTCATTTTTTTAAATGAAAGCCTGTAACTGGCAAACTGTCAGTCATTTCTATAAACAAACTGTCAGTCATTTCTATAAACAAACTGTCAGTCATTTCTATAAACAAACTGTCAGTCATTTCTATAAACAAACTGTCAGTCATTTCTATAAACAAACTGTCAGTCATTTCTATAAACAAACTGTCAGTCATTTCTATAAACAAACTGTCAGTCATTTCTATAAACAAACTGTCAGTCATTTCTATAAACAAACTGTCAGTCATTTCTATAAACAAACTGTCAGTCATTTCTATAAACAAACTGTCAGTCATTTCTATAAACAAACTGTCAGTCATTTCTATAAACAAACTGTCAGTCATTTCTATAAACAAACTGTCAGTCATTTCTATAAACAAACTGTGAATAACAAATCCTATTAAGTTTTGTGATCCATCTCCATTCTATTGTATCAACAAGATTTACAAAAAAGAAAGTTTTAAAAAAACAAAAAAGACAACACAATCAGCTATTTCATTTCATTGTAAATGAAATTTTACAATTAATCTTTTTTCCACTAAGAATAAAAACTAAACTTTATGAACATTCATTTACTTATAACATGTTTTTATGCTACAAATCTCATCAACTCTGTGAAAGACTTTGATTTATCAATTTTCACTCTTTCACTCTTTCACTCAACTATTTAATAATAGGTTTTTTATGTATTTTAGACAATCACACAATGCTGTCATTTTGTGTTTGGTTTGAAAGTTTTCCTATTTAAAATAAAGTACCAAAAAACTAGTCTTCTTTTTTTTTAATGCTTACCATGTTTCCCAGTCATAATGGTTTGTTCTGACAAAACATGTCCATTACATAGTGGGTGATACAAAAATGGGTTCAGTTGGCCCCAGTGTTGAGCAGATGTAAATACATTTGAGCATGTATGCTAACTTCAAGGCATTCCTTCCAACTGCACTTCCTGAGTACAATTCAGTTACAAACAGCACTGGAATTTGCCTGGATAGTTATATCCAAGCAATGACTCCAGCACCTCATAGACTCTCTGCCACATTATATAGCTGTCAATTATTCAGGCAAAATGAAGAGCTATATATTAATAAGTAGCCATACTTAATTTTTGGGGGGCATTTCAGTTTGTATTAAGGCATCATTTATCTCCAGTTATAGTGACTTGATAAGTCAGACATTTTCTTTTCTTTTCATATTACAGTACTAAAAAATATGCAATTTATTTGCACTTATTGATTTTGTTTTCTTTCTTGGCAGCAGATTTAGATTGGCATATTAAAAATGTCTGGACGGTTGTTTGGGAGGCTTGACATGTTGAATTCAGGAGAGAAACCCAGTGGACGGGCCGATATGAGAAACTTGGGCAATGGACACTCAATTCCGCCATCACCACTCAAGTTGTTTGGACAAGCCAAGAAACGCATCAATGATATCTTCAAAGAGATTGGTGAATACATCTATGAAAGTGATAATTTTATACAAAGTAAGTTATACTTGATCTTTTACCACTTTTTATACTTTCCCTCTCTTAGCTCAACCTTTTTGAAAATGGTGTCATACAATAAAAGTAGCCTGACTGGTTGGTTCTAAAAGCTTGTGTGTGCCTATCAAAGTTACATATTTAACTGTACGTGTCATTGACTTAACACTATAACTAATGGATAATAGAGGGCTTTGTCCAGTTTAGAATCATTTTCTTAAAGTTTGACTTCTTTCCTTTCTTGTCATGTTATTATCAATTTGTTATATAGTAAAAGTTCAAAAAATTCAAGTTGGTCCAGATTTTCTGGATTCTCAGGTAGGACTTGTAAAGTTTAAATTTAGAAATAAAAGAAATGGTTACAATTTTAGTTTTACATTTAGGTTTTATAATTTTGATGAGTCTTTGTTTTTGCAATTTTCATCAAAAACTCTAGCAAGGCTGTTAATTTTATCTATTTTTTTTAATTCATATTTTTCCATAAGAACAGTATTGTTAACACCACATTCTAGTTTCTTAATTATTTTCAAATTGTTCACTCAATTTCTCTTAACACAACACTTATTTACTTCCAGAACCATTATTATAGATTACTAAATCAACCAACCATATATGCTTGGTGGAAAGAGTTGCAAGTGAAATATGTAGCATTGTTACAATTTATCAATTCAAAATGGCGACCACATGGCAGTTTGTTGATGTGGTGCATATATATATATATATATATATATATATATATATATATATATATATACACACACACACAACACACTATATTTAAACAATTCCAACTTTTAAAATAACTGTATCCTCAGATGGTTTGGAATTACATTTTTACTTTATTGTTTCTCATTCAGTCTAAGTTGTCATTTACCTATAAGAATAAGGGGGGGGGTGCTGAAAAAGTTCTTGCCACAATCGACTTCCCAAAATACATATTTTGATATTTAGTCATTAAGATACTGGGGAGTGGTTCAGGCCAAGAATCTTTCAGTGCATAAAGACTGATTTAGTAAACTTGAAGAAACCATCTTTTCATAGTACAAGACTGGTTAGTATTCTCGTTGGTTATTTAATACTTGTCTGCAAGAGCTTCTGGAAGTCTCTTGCTGGTTTCAAAAGTTACTTGTGTTCTCAACTTTTGGACAGATTATTTGTAGAGGAAAAGTGTTTTATTCTGACTGGCATATAAAAAAAAAAAAAAAATATGATTTAGTTTTTGTGTATGTGAATACAATATGGCCAAGAAAGTATTTGGAGTTTTGTAAAATGTTTTAGTTGGTCTTTGATGCTTACATTTATTTTACATTTACACAAATGGTATATTTCTTAATTTTGGATAATTTTAAGTTACTATGTTTAAAAAAAAAAATCTACTTTGAGTATACAGAGTGGGGCAAGTTGCACACCACAGGAGTTGGATGGATCAAAGAGGTCCTGTTGAGTGGCCACTAAAGTCAACAGACTTCACACATTTTTTTTTTTTTTTTTTTTTTTTCTTCCTGTGGGGCCATTTGAAATCTGTTGTTTATCAGACATGTCCAAGAAATATTGAAGATTTTAAAGATTGAAATATGACTGCAGTAAAATGACAAAGGAAACTCTCCGATACGTTAATGAATTCTGCAGGCACAGAATTGAAATGTTTTGAAAAAGGACATTTTGAACAGCGTGTATACCAATTAAATAATAAATTGTGTGTAATTATACTTTTAATAAATTATGCCTAAGATGTGCGATTTTCCTCGCCCTGTAGAATAGGGAATAGATAACAGTTGTAGTGTTTATATTCCAACACTTCCCCCATTTAAAGTGAGTATATTCTAAACCTTCCCACCCACAATGATTTACATCTAAGATACAAAAAATTTACATTTGAGGTGGGATTCTCACCTGGCCATTGACAAGTTTCTTCAGTTTAACTTCAATCACAGTTTTAGTGACTCTATCTGCTCCAATTTGTTCAGGTGGGCTATATGATGTCCTTTGGATATTTGATAATGAACAAGGTTTTCAACAAAAGCTATAAGCACTTTGTCACAATACATCATGATGGTTGAACAAATCAGAATTTGTCATCTTTTTCTGTAACTGAATTAAGAACTTTGACTCTTTTATGTAGTGGATATTAAATCCGTGTATTCCACCTTACAAGTGCATAATGCAACAATTGCTAAAGCCTTCTAGTTGTTTCATGTACATCTCACAATTGATTAAATCATTCACATAAGTAGTTTTAACATTTATCTGGGGAAAAATCAAATTACTAATTGCATTAATACTCTGGTATTTGTAATAAATGTTGGAAGTGAAAATGTCAATGCCAAGACTGAATCTGTCACCTTTTGACAAAACTGTCCTTATATTTTTGTCCTTGTCATTTTTGTTGGATTTAATCATGTAAAATCCAACCTCTCTCTCAAACCACTGCTGTTCTATCTTCTAATAAGGGGGACTAATTCATACATATTATTTTGTCCTTAGAGCATGACACAGCTACTGCTTGTCACAAGGACCCTTTCATCTACTGTGGTGGTTGCTGCTGCAGCTTTGCAGTCATTTCTGGTTTTATTAATATTTATTTATATGCTAAGCCTATTCAGGAGGTCTTCATAGACTAGCATGTGTATGTTCTGATTCTTTCAGATGTGTCTGACCCTCTCTCACTTTTTCTCCTACTATGCTATGTTTGTCTATGTGCTCACAATGTTTTAATTTCTTGACTTTCAACAATTCAGAAACATACAAAAATGCTGCTGATCTGGTCACAGCTGAGGATGCAGGAATTGTCAAAGGATTTAAGGAGAAAGTGGATGGAATCACAGAAGTGTTGGCCCGGGATCACATGAAAGTGGCTTTCTTTGGACGGTGGGTTTTCTTTTACCTCTTCATTTTTTCTATCAATGAAATCAAACCAACATGAAATATTAATTTTTTTACTGTCTGCATCTTTCATCTCTACTCAACATTGTATTTATAAAAATTCAATTCTTTATCCCAATCCCAGCAGAACTACATTGGTTGTAATGTAGTCATGCAAAAGAGTTTTTATTTAAATGGTCTGGATAATTAACTTTTTTTTTTTTTTTTAAAGTTATTTGTAATATTTATAATCACATGAATAAATTATCCTAAGTTGATAATTTTGAAAATTTGACAAAACCAAACACTTTTTATGCATATGTGTACAGAAGATGGTGATATACTCCAAAGGCCAAAATGCTTTTGTCTGATATACTGTTTTAGCTAAAAAAAAAAAAAAAAAAGTAAACAAATCCCCTCTCCACTGAATGAAGTTAGCAAGCTGATGTAAATGGGCTATTTCTAAACAATTATGGTTCAATTGTCACTGAGTGAAATTGTGTAGAAAAATAGGCTAATCCATTTATGAATAGCAAACTATAAAAGGTTTAACAAACTGCTATCAAAGCAATTGACACTTCCTGCCTTGGTGAGAACCTTGAGGGCTGCATGTGACTTTCTGAGGAATTGCATTTGTTCTTTTACAATATGTGGCATACTTTACAAGACAGTCTTTTACAAATTCTAACAGCATCTTCCCATGAACTGCTACTTTGTGAAACCAACTCGCAAGAGGATGATTTTCCAACCATTACATTCTTAACCTTCAAGTTTAGGGGTAACCATTATCTTTATCTCAGATATACAATCTCCTTCAGTAACTCTCTACCATGACTGGAAAATTGCTATGTTTATTGATGCTTTAATAAAGATCCAGAAATAAAAATAAAATGGTGTGGGGGTGAGATAGCAATAAGGACACCACTGTGTGTGTTTATATATATATATATATATATATATATATATATTGTTTAGAATTATGTAAGATTTTTGTTCATCTTCCACAATTCAAGAGAATTTAGTTTTTCATACAGATTCAGAAAATATTTTTTTTCAAATGTCTTTTTTTTTTTTTTTTCAGAACTTCTAATGGCAAAAGTACAGTGATAAATGCTATGTTAAGGGATAAAATTCTGCCCAGTGGCATTGGCCATACTACCAACTGTTTTGTCCAAGTTGAAGGTACAGATTCCAATGAAGCTGTCCTTCTCACAGATGATTCTGATAAACCTAAGAGTATCAACGTAAGTAATTTATTTCTTCATGTTCCATGTGGGAAGAGACGCACACATTTCTCTGTCTATATTTCGGGGATGAGGTATTATGTACACTATTTACATTATTCGGACTATTGTCCTCATCTTTGTCGCTATATTTATTACAAAGTTTCGGCCGTTGTACACTCCCGCCTTCTACAGGTGGTAATGTAAATAGTGTACACATTTTTCTCTTATGTTTATATTGTAGGTGTTCTACTTTCGAGTTATTCCAGTTTGGGGGGTTTTGAAAGATTTACTATTTGTGTGTCTATCTTTGTAATCGTTTGTGATTCCACATTATTGCTTCATTTACTGACCAAAAAGCCAGCAGTTGAAACAGTAAAATTGAACTATTTTACTGTGTAGAAAGTCGTAATTATTACTTTCAATTTTAAACGGGTACTCAAATTGAACACTCTAATTTTTATTGCATCATGAAATGAATTAAATGTTCTGATATATTTAACTGATTTTTTTGTCTTACTAAATTAGCATTTTTTCAGTCTATTGTAACTGAACAGTCTAGATCACAATTAGTACCAAAAATTAAGTCAAATTTATTTGTATAATGAATGATCGTCTTCAACTTATTTTGGAACAAGTTTAAGAATTCTTTGTAACGATCTTTCATTGAAGCTGTTTATTAACTTTGATCTTTTCAGGACATCAAACAACTTGCACATGCTTTGAGTAACATGAAATTAAATTCCAACAAATGTATACGTATTTTGTGGCCTAAAGAAAAATGCCGCCTTTTAAAGGAAGATGTCATCTTGGTTGACAGGTGAGTTGTATGACAAATTGACTGTTTTTGTTCTCACAAAAAGTAATGATTAAATCTAATTTAGTATTTATTTTGGGATTGTGTTTTTTATATTGATAAATTTAAGTGTAAAATTTTGTTAAAATTGCTAAATATTTTTGCCTTTGAATTTGTCATGAAAATTTGTTTTTAATGTTGAAGTAATTGTTCATTAGAAGATATAAAGATTGATAGATAGATAGAAGGGTTGCTAGAAAGAAAGAATGACTATATTTTGGCTGACTGTTTTCTTGTTGTTTGCAGTCCTGGTATTGATGTCTCTCCAGATCTTGATGAATGGATTGATGAGCATTGCCTTGATGCAGATGTCTTTGTACTTGTGGCAAATGCAGAATCAACTCTGATGCAAACTGTAGGTTTTTTCTTTTTTTCCTCTCTCTCTAACAATTCCATCCTCTATACATCATCTGTTTTTGTTTACACCTTCCACTAATCATATAAAGATGTTAAAAATCTGACAACCTCATCAGCGGTTTTAAACATTTTACACCATGAATGGTGACTTTAATACAGAAAATACATTCTAGAAGGTTTTGTTTGTTTGACACTAAGAATGAATACTTGGGTTGATGTGTTGATGAAAAGGTTGTATATAGTAAATTAAAAATCTATAAAATTATTTAATCTTTTTTTATAATTTAGAGTGTTGAACTTTTTAAATACTAAAAAGTATTTTGCACCTTTTTTTTTTTTTTTTTTTTTTTTTTTTTCCAAATTTAATCAAGATTTTGAGAAATAGCAAGTCAATCATCAGCTTAAAAAGAAAACAAAGTTGAACTTTACCACTAAGATTTCATTCTTCACCCATCATGAAAATTTAAGACATATTCAATAAATTTAGGTGTTAAAAGTGGAATCGATATTTTGAGTTCTGAAAGTTTTGACACCTTTTTTTTTTTTTTTTTTTATTTTTTTTTTTATGTTCAATTTCAAGTAAATATCTGTAGATTTCTTTCTCTGCCATTATTGCATCATTAAAAAAATATTGTTTCAATTAAAAACATTGGCAGATGTAAATATGATACTGTATAAAATCTCAACAAAACACAAGGCAATAAAATACTATTGAAATATAAGCACTTGTTAAGTTCTTTAGATATTAAAAACCATTTTCGAAAATAGAAATTCTTTTACAGTGATATAATAAAAGAAATAACTTTGATAACCTCATTTAAAAAATGTATATATTAAATAGCAATTATTATATCAGAAATAATGGTGAAAGATGAAATTCTAGATGACAAAAAAGACTGAAAAATGGTTTAATTTTAATAGAAATGAAAGCAGATTTTAAGACTTTTTCTTTCTTTTTCAGGAAAAGAACTTTTTTCATAAAGTTAGCTCAAAACTCTCCAAACCAAACATTTTTGTCCTTCAAAATCGATGGGATATTTCAGCCATTGAAGAAGATATTGAGGAGGTAGGATGGCTTTTCATTCTCATTTCTTTTATTATTCTCTCTCCTTAATGATGTTTTTCTTTTTCTTATATTCTTTCACACTGTCATCTTAAAGGCTTTGCCCATGATTGGGGACGGGGAATGACTGAAATGTCTCAATGTTTGTGTTAAATTATTACAAGCTGGATTTTTGGGTTGTTTTGTTTTTTTTTTTTCTTTTTTCTCTCTCCATTATAGTGCATTTGTATTATTCATTTAATGAGTCCATTTTTATTTTCCTTCAGGTTAGAAAGCAGCATATGGAAAGAAATGTTCAGTTTTTAGGCAAAGAATTAAATGTGGTGAAACCAGAAGATGCAGAAAACAGGGTGTTCTTTGTTTCTGCCCGAGAAGCCCTTGTCTCTCGGTTACATGAAGACAAAGGGACACCAACCCCGGTGGGAGCATTGCAAGAAGGCTTTCAAGTTCGCTTGTTTGAATTTGCCAACTTTGAACTTACATTTGAGGTCAGTATCAAAAAGCATATTCACCTTTCAAGAGGAGCACATTCACTTATTTTTTGGCTTTCTTTTCCCTCCTTTGCTGAGACACATAATTTTAATGATCAATTATAAATTCAAATCAAAATAAGTTCCCTTCCTTTTCAATGACCTAATCCCATGGAGTAGGTAAATTAATGTTGATTTGGTCATAAAATGTTTGGTGTTTTAAGATTTATAAGAACAAAAGTAGTAGTATTAAGAACCATTAACAATATCACTTAATTGCTGGACCAATACTATCCTGACTTCTTGCTTCCCAATCAACTTTCATCTTCAAAAATGTAATATCGATCATTATCTTCTGTCTTCTTAAATCCTGTTCTTTTATTGTTCTCTCTCTTTAATATTTTTCTTGTATTCTTTCATATTCAGTAACCCTCTGTGTCTTAGTGGCTTTATTGCATTGCTTGGAATGAAATGTTTTTTAAAAAAAGGAAATACTGCAAAGAGCTTAAAATCTGTGGAGGAAAGTCAATAGAGTAGAATATATGAGTTAAGTCATATTCAAGACAAGATATTTTGCAAAGTGTGGTTTTGTGTTGTCAATTCACACTTTTCCAACTGATCAGTGAAGCAAGAGGAATTTTTGGGTGGTGGGATTGAAACTGAGTAAACTTTTGCTGAAATTTCCTGACACTCAAGACTTCTAAGGCCTCTTCTCTAAACACACCCACACTTTTTTTTTTTTTTTTTTTTTCTTTTGGTGAACCACTTCTCAACCTTTCAGGAACATCTCAATTTTGATTAAAGGAAAGATACAAACTCTTCACTTAAAAGAACCCTGCCTTTGATAACCAAACAACAATTTGAAAGTTTTAATTGCAAAATAACTGACTGGCTTTTCTTTCCAATATTTTTCTAATTTTCTAATAGTCTTCTCTTTATGAGGAGACTTAATGGGACTAGCTGCACAGAAACCTTTTCAATTCATGTAGGACTTTCATATGACTAACATTCATTTTCTGATTGAGTTCTCTAGCCATAACAGCATCCTCCAAATTCTCTGAATTATCTAGATTCAAATTCCCAGTTTTGAAATGTGGGAAATCCATCTCCTGCAACTTCTGACACATCGACTCCATAAGCACACTGGATGAATTTTGCTGCTGCACTTACATTGACACCTTTATGAAAGTCATAGAATAAAACATTTCTAATGTGTTCTTTAGTTGAGACAGGCAAGTTACGGACTACATTATGAATAATATTCTTATAATCTGAAAGAAAAAGATATGAATTACTCATAGTAACATCAATAAACACCATAAAGACTTCAATTTTGTCAAAAATTGAACAGAACATAAGTTTCAATATGATATACTATGTGCGATGGATAAATTGTCATGTAAATTACACAAAAATGAAAATACTGACATCTCATTTTAACAGATATATTTACCAAAATTACACAAAAATATTTTGAAATACTAAAGAGGAAATTTATTCAATAAAATTGCCATTGACTTCAACAACAGCCTCCAGGTGACTTCAGAATCTCCTGCAACTTTTCTGGATGGTCTCCTTGTTTAAGTTGATGAATACAGCCATAATCATTGCCTTCAGTTCATTTTTTGGTGTTACAAGGAGTTTTGTTGGTCTCTTTCCCCAGCTGCACCCCATGCATAATAATCAAGGGGGTTGCAATCTTGGGGGTTAGGGGGCCTGGTGTAAGGGGTGATGTGGTCGCAGAAATTGTCTGACAGCCATGATTTGGTTCTCCTGCTTGTGTGGCATGGTGCAGAGTCCTGTTGCCAGACATAGGGTCTTCCAGTAGCCACTCTCTTGACCCATAGTAGCACTACCTCCTCAAGGCACTTGATGTAGGCCTCAGTGTTTAGTCTGAGGCCCTGTGAAAAGATGAATGGAGGTATAACCTTGCCATCACTAGTGATCACTCCAAACACCATGATGCTGACTGGATATTTGGTTTTCATCACTCTCAGTACATCTTTTGGAGACACAGCAAGCCAATCGTTGTTTTGTATGTTCACCATCTTATCCTGTCCTGGCAGAAATTTTTCTTGTCTGAGAAAAACTAAAGCATGTTCGGTTGGAGGGAATGCTTGAGTTAGTTCAAAAGCTTTGTAGCACAGTCTTTCCTCTTGTCCTTCATGCCTTGTGATAAAAATTGACCCTTTCTCATCTTGTATAAGAAATAGCAAATGTCAAAATACACTACCTGCCTAATAAGAAACTCCTGTCTCCTAGCCTATGGACCTGATTGACTTGGAGGGATTGTTGTTGGTCATGGCCTAGATCTCACCAACAAATTCGGGAGTTCTTGACAGAGTTTTCTGAGCTGCCATACTTTTGTAATCACCATTAAATGCTTTCCAAATCCTCTGAACTGTACTCGGATTTGAGACACAAACACTCCAATGTTCATATAGGAGCTTCTGGCACAAATGCCAAGCAGTACTGCATGCCGTTTCTAAATTTCTGATGGAGTGAATTGTTTCATGGTGCTCTTTTCCTCATAAGCAGTGCCCAACTGACCTGACTATATTTTGCAGTTGATCAAATCAAAAACAATGTGCAAAAAAAAATGTATTGATATCAGGAAAGTGTCTAACAGTTAATTAATAAACTCATTTGCTAAGCAACAAGTGACATTATCTAAAAATACAATCATCAAAATCCATCTTGATCATGATTTTCCAGGACATCACCTTGCTCTGTAAAGTCATGTGGTCCAATCTTAGTGCATTAACTTATTTTTTTTATTTCAGGAATGCATATCTAAATCGGCTGTGAAGACCAAATTTGAACTACACACAGAGCGAGGCAAGAATATCAACTCTAACTTACGGACAGTGATGGAAGATGTCCACCAGCGAAGCATCATTCGCAGGTTTGAACTGTCAGCATATGGCTTCTCTCTCTCTGTCTTGCTTGCTTCAGTGAGATGGCTTCTAATCAAATCCTCTCCCCTCTTGTCCAGTATTCTCATCCTTACATTGGTGAAGCAATCTTGTCAGTTGTGGTTCTCAGTACTCGAGCTACAATCAAATATTAATCCATACTCAATTTGTTCATTTCTCTTTCTTGTATGGCACATAATGATTAAATATTGATAAATGACTGATTAACGTCTCCTTCACCAGCTAGAATATTCTTGACTTTTCTATTTTGGGTCTAAATTTACTTTTTCTATTGTTTTCAAATATGTAATCAATTGATGATAAACTAAAACAATTGAAATCTCTGGAAACATTTTATTTTGCAGTGTTTCTTTGTTTAACTTTAAATGCAACTATTGTTATTTTTAATTTTCATGACTATTATTATTAATAATAATAATAATAATAATATGGGGGGATACTATTATGCATTTTTGTAAAAATTACAAAATCTCAAATTTTATTTACTATTTATTCCCCTGCCAATCAGTCAATAGGTTTGCCTATCATTCCTCCCAGGTCTTATGAACAAGAGTAGAGGCTTATCAGTTGCTTCCTGTTTAAGTTTCTGGTTCCTTCTAAAGTCTTCTCATTCTCTTGCTCCCAGTAACCTCTTGCATCTTAGTGGCATTATTGCCTTGCTTTGGGTGAAATGATTTTAAAAAAATAAAAATAAAAAAAAAAAGTTATCCTAAAGAAAATATTTGATGCCATGTAAGTCCCCCCCGCAATCCCCACTGCTGGTAACCCCAACACACATTTCAGCAGGGAAAATTAAGAAAAAATAATTGTAGTATGTGGACTGTTACTGGATCTTCATTAGTATTCCATATTTGGCTCAGTTCAAAACCAGTTTATGACCTAATATGGAGACGGTCTTATATATCATTAAATATGATTGTTCTTTTTTCTTTTGTTTTTCTATATGAGAACACTGGATATTGTTACTAATTGCTTGCTTTCAAGGTATTTTGAGAAGTACTGGTACTGCAAGATGTTTGCAGGCTATATGGACTTGGACTACAAATGTCTTCTTGCAAATGCCAGGATTTCTTATTTGTTAACCCAAGTTGGGAAACAAATTTAGAATTAGTTTAACAATAACATTATACTCAACAGTTGAGGGTCAGCAATTTTGATTTTATTATTGGTTTTTAGTAATCTGAGGAAATATGATTAAATAGTGATGATGTTTTATACTTTACTTTTTTTTAATTTTCAATTTTCTATACAAAAAAATCATTTAAAAAATTTAAAGTAATCTTGAATGTTAATGACTTAAAAATATCTTTTTCCATAAAATGTTTAATTTATATTTGATGTGAATTCTGAACCTACTTAAAAATTTTACAATGGCTATACTGAAATACTTATGAAAACTTAGACCATGAAAATAAATTGAAATTTTCCATCTGATCCTGTATGTCACTGTACATAACCTGGTGCAAATAGGCACCTTTCAGATATATATTGTGTTGTTTAGGATGGTTGAAATTGTATTAAAGAATTGTACTAAACTTTCTTACTGCCTGTTTTACCTCAACATTATATATTTTCCTGTTTGTTTTGCTGGTTAATTATAACATTAAAAACGTAGGGAAACTTCTCCATTCCTTCTTGAATCGAATTGAGAACGTTTCCTCTTGTATTCATAACATTTCACTTTTAAACTTACACTTTTGATTTAAGATTTTGAAATCTGAATCAAGTTTGTTCGGTTTAATCCGATTCCTCTCACCTGGATGTTTTAGCTCGAGTACATCAATTATGTGGCCTGGGAACCCCTTCCTTGGACAATGCCTTTGCATTGCACTCAAAGGAAAAGGTCAAAACATTTACTGATGTCTTTAATTTGACCCCAAGCACTCAAGGTATTATTTGAGAAACTAAACATTAAACAACTGAGCAATTGTTATAAGATTTTAAAAACTTTAATCTTCATTTAAGCAAACATGTGAATATTTTAATTTTTGTTCCAAGTAAAAGGTTAAACAAAGAATAATAAAGATTCAAACAAATAAGTTTTTTTTTGTTGTTTTTTTTTTTTTTTCCATTATATGGTAAATATGTTTAAGCAATATTCATTAACCTTGTGTAAGTTAATATAATTTATTATGTACTATTTATAACTTTGTTATAATCAGGTAAATTTTGGAAGAGGTTTATTTTTCGCAGTAAAAAGAAGTTTCTAAAATTATTAACTATTATTTAACTGTCTTCTCTACATCCTTTCAAAATTATAGTGAATACATTTTGCCTATATTTTCTTAAATTGTGTTTTGATCATTGCATGCGAGTTAATTCTGGATAATTTCCTCATTTTTATTTTTGCATAACCTTACAACCTGTTGAATTAAACTTAACCGATCTACAATGTGCTGGTTTCTTTAAATTCGTATCCCACCAGAAAAGAAATTAAGATGTTACAATAAAATTCCTGTAAATTTCTATTACCTTCTTATAATTCATAAAAGCATTGCAAATAATTTTAAGAGATAAATTGTTCCTCTACTGAAAGCAAAGAATGATAATCTGTCTATATTACTGAGGTATTATGTACACTATTTACACTATTTCAGCCGTTGTACACTCCAGCCTTCTTCAGGTGGTTGGAATGTCAAACTGAACCCTTTATTTCACTTAGACTGTTCTAGGTCCACATGCCATGTTTTAATGGATGTCAGTTATCAGTTATCTCCTGTTAATTCCGCTCTGCAAGTTCTCCACTGCCTTAACCAGGTATTGAACTCACACTCTTTGGGTCATGTCACTGGATCTAACAGCAAAAAATTGCAATATGAGCACTGGTAAAAAAACGGTTGCTGAGACATTAGGTTTATAATATCCAGGAATTCATACACAGATGTCCTCAAGGACACATGGCACAGTGGGTAAAGGTGTTGGTTAGATCCAGTGACAGGTTAAGGTAGTGGAGAACTTGCAGAGGAAAATTAACAGGAGATAACTGATAACTGACATCCATTAAAACAGAACAGTCTACCCCAGTGAGAAAAATAAACGGTTCAATTTGACATTCCAACTACCTGGAGCGTAAAACGTCAGAAACATTGTGATAAATACGGCAACAAACATGAGAACAATAGTCCAAATAATGTAAATAGTGTAAAGAATGGTAATGTCTTATAAAATGATACACTTTAATTATTATTTTTTTAAAATATTCCTTTATTTGTACAGATTAATGTACTTAATTAAAAATCTGTTTAAATATAAAGTAAAATGTTTTGCATCCATCAATACATGAAGTCGATTTACATGTTAATACAGAAATACTATTTATAAATTAGATATTCAGTCTTTTAAATAATTTGTATTTTTGAATCTAAGGATTATATCCATCATAGCAGAATGTAAAGTATTTGTGTGTTTTTTTTATCTATAGTCTCTTCTTGCATGATTAGAATTATTGGTTTGATCTCACCTGCCCTATCCAATCTGTTTTCATTTCTTGCAATAAGAGTGGCATGTGTCTTTAGAGTTGGTTTTCACGTTTATCATGTTTGGATGTTTTTCTTTTTTCTTCTATAGGGATGAACAATCATTGATATTTCAGCAAAAGTCAGATGAACTTGACTACATGGAGAAGCAGACAAAGTTGCTCACTGCAGAAATCAAGGAAAAAATCAAAGATATGGTTGATGATGTTGAACGTAAGGTTAGTTGTCTGCTTCTTCAGGGGCCATAGTTCAGGTTGACATTTTATGAAATTTGACAATTCATTTTTTTTTTCTTCTTTTTTTTTCAACTCCACCTACAGAATGGGGAAGAAAACTACTTAATCTAAAATGCTCCAAATAAAGCCACAAAATTGCTTAGTTATTCCCAATACCAATTTGCATTTTTGGGCTTAGATATTGGAATATTGGAGAACCTGTTGACCAATTTTATTATTTTGGGCTTAGGATTTATATTTTTTTTTTTTTTTTTTTAAATGGTGCTTGTTGCTAAAAAGTTTATAGAAATGTCAGAAATATAATCTTTTTCTCTTTTGCAATCTGACACTTAATAAATTTTGTCAATTTAGAAAATCTGTATTGTTCTATATATTTGTTTAATTGACTTGTTTTGAAGCAACTTGCTATTTCTAGATGTTAGCCAGCTAAATAGAACATATATTCACATTTATCATTTTAGATGCAGACTTGGTTCATTTTTTGTTTTAATTTCTCTTAAGGTGGCGTGTGCATTAAATGAAGAGATCCGAAGACTGGCTATAATTGTGGACGAATTTGATCGTCCATTTCAACCAGATCCTTTCATGTTAAATGATTACAAAAAAGTGAGTTTCTTTGTTTGCCTAATGATTTTTTTATTATTGGGGGGGGGGGGGGTAACATTGGATGGAGCAGGTTTCACCGCTGCTGTACATCACAATATTTGGTTTACACCTGCCCTCCTTATATATAAGGTGCTTGCAAGTCAAATGTCCAATACGAAGGGAAGAAAAGCTCACTTCCCCTTGGCAGCCATCTTTAAATAACAATTTTTTTTTAATATATTTATTAAAAAATTGTTATTGAAGATGCCCACTTTAGCAGTAATTTGCACCATTTTGAGTATAAATGTCAAATTAGTATGACAGATCTATTTCACTGAAATAGATTTGGGAATGTCTCTGAAACAAGTGATAAGTTTTGTAAAGCATTTATTCCTATCAATAATTTGTTAAATCAAGCTTATATTTTAATGCAGGTTCAATTGAAACATTTTTTCTAAATGAAATTGAAGAAAAATCGTTTTTTAACTTTGCTCATTTTAAAAATATATTTTTGAATTGTTATGAATATCTTTATATGCATTGATGTACCTTTTCAAAAGTTGATTTAAAAGAGAAAAACTGTTTTAAAAGAAAAATTACATATCGTATTTTGAAGATTTTACTCATAACCGTAATTTATACTCGTATATAAATACTTAACATCCTGTTGAAAAATCAACAATGATATTGAACAGGAAGATAAAAGAACGATAACTGAAAGGCTTAGTTTTCTCCCTTACATTAAGGAGTTGGTCACTTCCTATAAAACAAAGTTATTATTTGTCAGGTATACTACACCTCAAACAATAGATTAAGAGTTAAGTAACCGCCTCTGCTTAGACATTTCCATTGTCATCTTCAGTTTTATATACAACAGCAGTAGTACTAGTAGTATGCTGATTTTTTTCATGCTGATGAACTTCCCAGTGTGTCATGGCTGGGATCTTATATTGTTTGGTGAATTGAAAACTGAGTTCTGTTTATGATATTGCAAAAAGCGTTTTGCTTGAAGAAATTTGATAAATTTCCCTCCATTTGCTGATCATAAAAAAGAGAAATGGACAAGAAATTGCAACTAATTTTGACAAACTTTACTCGGCTTCCTAGTTTCTAAAATTAATTTACTGATTTATCTTGTATTATATAATATAATTTATAAATGCTAATTATATTTTAAAGATCTTTTTGCAATATTGTATCTGAAATATTGATAATTTTGTTTCCTAAACCCATGTATTTTTTTGAAATTTTTTTTTTTTTTTTTCACACATTATCTTCACTTATGAAAATTGTATATTTTTTGGAGAAAATGACTTTTCAGGCCATGGTTGAGTGAAGTGTCTGGGTGTTCAGTCTTTTTGTAAAATATGTATAAACTAAAACTAGACCTTCATTTTGTAATCATCATCTCAGCTGATGTTTGATTTGCACGATAAAGATCTAATATAAAACTGGACTTTTTTTTATCTACCTATACAAATATAAATTTAAATTGCAGAAACATAAAAAGAAAGGTTGATGTGGGAAAAAGTTGATTTAGGAATATGTCATTAACAACAAATGGTATTGCTAGTCACAGATAAAAAGAGCAAACTTATTTTTTTGTTCTTTTTAAGTGTCTGTTTTAAAATATTGGTCTAATATAAGACTTGTTACTTGTAAAAAAAAAAAAAAATATGCACAAAGAGTCTAGTTTAATATTATATGCTGTAAATCAAACAAAATACTTTTAAAAAAAAATTAATTTCCAAAGAAATGAAGATCATATTCAAAGTACATAAAAATACATAATAGAAAAATATATTTCTCTCTAAAGATGTACACTGTTTTGCTTAATCAAATGTTGCCCAATAATTGTTAAATTCTATTGGCTGATATGTTATTACTGTTGGTGTGTGTCTGCGCCTTTCTACAAATGCCATGTCATGTTTCTTTCCTCCAACTATCTCCAAAAAGGACCTCCACACACATATGGAGTCCACTCTGTGTCGCAACATGGTTGGCCGCTGTACTGCAACTTGCAAACGGGGCCTTGACAACATGGACCTGTACATGACAGGTAAGCTTAGTGCAATCACTGCTGCTGTTAACATTGCCTTTCGTTGTCTCTTCACACAATTGCCATTAACCTCTCATTCTCTACAATAATGTAGAAAATGGAGAGGGCCATCAATGGGAGATAGAAAAAACAGGAAGATGAGGGGACCCTATTTGCTCCTTGATTTTCCTCAGATCGTTCTAATATTGCTAGAATTACAGCTTTTGGCTTCTTTTTTTTTTATATCAGTGGGAGATGCAAAAGAACCATTCTAATATACTGTCTTAATGCCTTTTTTGTTCATATTAATATTTTTTCTTTCAATGTAATAACCAAATATTGAATAAAATAGCATAACTTTAAAAACCTTTCCAAAATAATAGCTTTTGACTAAACAGTGCAAAAAAAAATGATTCTTTGGTTACAATGAATACATTGCACAGTTACTAAAACTTTTTCTCATCTTATGAATTTTGTTTTTTTACGTAAACTTTAAGAGTCTATTAACATTATTGAACTGTCTGATATATGACATAAAAGGCATTTTAAAGACATTACTCTGGAAAATATCAATATCTTTCACCTTCTCCCATAGCAGCACCAAATTGTCAAGCATGTTTGTAGAATTATTTTTGGTGTTGTTTCTTTTGCCTATATCTTGATTCTTGTAATATCCTTTGTTTATAGAATGCAAGATTGCTGCCACCACCAACACTTTTCTGACACCCATACATCAGAGCTTATTGGATTCGTAGAATTTGTGATTTGTGTCTGTACTGTCTTACAAAAACTTTTTTTTTTCCCCAAAGAACTGTTTTTGCATGGTTGTCAAAGATCTTTGTGATCAAGAAAGGAAGAGATATTTAGTGGTCTACTCTCAACTCTCTAATAAAATTCAAATTCCACAAAGCCATAAAATGCCAAATTTTTTATTTTTTCTATTACCTCTTCCCCATCTTGTCCACAACTGTCTTGGTCACCTGTAAACAACTGTTCTTAACTCTTTGGTACTGCTATCACTGCCATTGTTTTTGTTTCCTCTTGATAATTTTTTTTTTTTATAATTGTTATTTGTCTTCTCCCCCTGAATCCTGATCATCACATCCATATTGATAGGATTTGCAAGAGCATTGTTCAAAAGCCTTAAGCCAGAACCTTCAGACCCATCATTCTGCTGATCTGAACAAATCTGTTTATGCTGCTCGCAAGAACATCATAGGTAAACTATGTTCTCCCCACCTTCATTCTTTGGTGGCAGAATTTTTTATAACTATATATCTCGGGTTTTGGTGTGTATACGTGATCAGCATTTTTGTTTTGCTGGTGTCCAGTGCATTAGATGTCTGGGTAAAAATTGTTACCAAATGTCTTTGCATCTGGACATTGTATATTTTTTTCTTTTGTTTTACTAATTCAACGGAATCAAAACTTTGCAGAAAGAATATTTTATTAAATGCATGACATCAATTCCCTCTAATGATTATGTCTATAGTAATACGGCAAATACTAAAGGTACATATAGTAGGTAAGCAGATGGCAAAATTATTACAATACATTTTAACATTTGAACATGTGAATATATATATATATATATATATATATATATATATATATTCATATTTATCTATAGTTCATATTTATCTAGATGCAACATCTTAACTTTATTAAGACATTCTGGGATAGTCTAAAAGTCGTGTTTGCACCCCCTCAAACACACATGCACCTACCTGTCCTAATAAAAGAATCTTTGGCAAATATTGGTCTTTGAGAAGATAAGTTGTAGAAAAAAAGGGAGCAATAAAAAGACACTAGTAATCTTTTAATGTGATGTGCCATTTCATGTCATGCCAAATTCTGCCTCCCATCAACTTCTTGGACTTATTCTCTTTTACCAATTTCTCTTTTTACAATTGCCAAATTTTCCAATTTAAAATTTGTTTGAGCTAGGTTTAACCACATTGTGTACCACAAAATTGGGAAGCAATTTCCAGTGGTCAAGAATTAATTTTCTCTCCCTCCGTTTCTCCAAAACAAAAACTGTCTGTATGCATTTCTGTTAAAAAAAAAAAAAAAAAAAAAAAGGCCTATCACTTTGATCCAGAATTAAAATTGAATGGACACATAATTCCCACAGTCCAACAAATAAAATATCTAGGAATCCTACTAGATAGCAAACTTAACTTCAAAGTACACATTGAATACCTTAAGCAAAAAATGACGAAAGGCCTTGAAGCTTCTAAAGGTAATATCAAAAATGAATTGGCATGCTGACAAAAAAAAGTAATGCTCAGAATATATAGGTCATATTAAAGATCGAAACTAGACTATGGATGCATTATTTACAGTGTTACGTGTAAGTCCTATCTTGAAAAGCTACAAACTATACAAAATCAAGGCCTGAGATTAAGTCTCGGTGTCTTTTGGACTTCACCCATGTAAAGTCTCTATATAGAAGCCAATGAATCACCGTTATCTCTGAGATGGGGAAAAATTATCCCCCCAATATGCACTAAAACTGCAATCTAACCCAAATAACCCAACATACCAAAAAACATATGAACTCAATATACCCAGTTCTATAGAAACGGTCATCCTTTCATTTTGTCTTTGAATCAAAGAAGCAGTAGAACAAATAAACAAAGATCTTGATAATGCTATACCAATCACAATAAATAAGGTACATCTATGGACAATCTCTAAACCTCACATAGACCTTACATTGACACACAAAAAAAAAAGCATATACTGAGAATTAAGAGACAAATATCATGACTATAGACCATTCACAGATGAATCAAAAATCCTAGATAGGTGTAGCAGTCACAAACAAACCAGGCTACCAAGTAATGCATCCATTTATACAGCTGAACTACAAGCCATAAAAATGGCACTTGAAACGACAGAAGATTCAAAAGATAGGAAATTTATAATCCTTATCTAGTTTAACAGTAATTAGAGAAAATAACACAAATCATCCCAAGAAATTCTAGAAACTTGTCATTTAATAAAGCACAAAACAATAATATTGTCTTGGTTTCCTAGCCATATGAGAATTAAAGGAAATCATGAAGCCAACACTCGGACAAAAGACACACAATGAGTCATTGTCTGATTGCAGACAAGACATAGTGCTCAACAGAATAAGAATTGGACACACTGCTCAAGGCAGAAACTACACATCAGTGTACTCACTGCAGCCAATTTTTCACAGTTAAATATATCTTGATAGAATGTAAGTACAAAAAAAAATACATAGCAACTATTACCAATCTCAAAATGTTAACTCTCTTCAAAAATGTACCTACTGCCCAAATAAAATACTTCCAACTTCTATAGAAAATAGAGCAAGCAGGTTGAACCATACAACTTATGATTTTAAAATTCTCCTGAACTATATAACAATCTTAAAACCTCACAACCACTTGAAATGTTCTGAAATATTCTTAAATAAAAATCCAGTTTCAGCATTAAATAACCCACAGTGGTTGATATGTTGGTAACAAATCAACAATCCATCTGTCCTCCTCATCTGAGCTTTGCTTTATAACTTGCTATCTTCCAAATATCCTAATTACTTGAATGTTGTTTAAAAAGCTTTTTGAAGTTGAGACAATAACTTCTTTTTCTTTTCTTTTTCTTTTTTTAACCAAGTAGAAGGCTTTGGTAAATCTGACACTGACTATCTGATTGTGTACAATTGCAAGTTTGCATCAACAAATCGAATATTGTTGGCATCCATTTCTCACCCTGTTTAGCAAAAATTCAGTTCATTGTTGGTGAGACTGGAGTGACTTCTCCAGGGGGTAGTCTGGGTGATGGAGACCATGCACTGCCCAGTCTACATTGCCCCACTCTCAGGTGTACCAACAAGTTCCAAAGGAATATAGGGTAATTTGGTAACGGCTTGGCTGCAGGAGTTTCCAGAAAGCTGTCGGTGTTGATGGCCAACTCCACTTTGAGTTTTCTGTCTGAATTTACTTCCATGGCCTTTTCCAGGTTTAGATTGGACTGCAAAGCAGCAGAGTTTTAAAATGAGGTTTTCCTCTCCTAGATTGACTTCCATGGCTGTCAAGCAGATGATTATGAAGTGTCAGTATTCCGAACTCAATTCTCTGACTTGGAGCTGGATCTAGTTGTAAGAGGCTATTTGAGACTCCTATGGAAGTATTTCATATACCCAGGAGATTTGTCCCCACTGTCACCAACCCTCCCCCTTTATGACAACCTTTGGAGCATATATAATGTACATATATGAACATTACATACATCATGTGTTTTAGAAGCTACCAAAAAAAATTAACTGTTTGTTTTTGGGGTTTTTTTTTTCTTTTTTAAATATAGAAAATGTTAGGTAAACATTCACACTAGAAAGCAAGACAAATTACAAAATAGTACATAAACACAAGTATCAGATGTAATCATTTGGAAAATCTAGTAGCATTGTATGGAGGTAAGTGATAATCTACCAAAGAATTCTAAATGTTTTACTCTTTATGATTTGAGTAGTGATAGGTTAAAATATTAGAAAAAAATTTTTATGTTATTTACATTATTAAGACTATTGTCCTCATCTTTGTCACCATATTTATTACATTTCAGCCGTTGTATGCTCCGGCCTTCTTCAGGTGATTGGAATGTCGAACTGAGCCCTTTATTTCGCTCACTGGGGTAGACTGTTCTAGTTCCACATGCAAGGACACATGGCACAGTGGATAAAGGCGTTGGTTAGATCCAGTGATAACTGACATCCATCAAACATGGCACGTGGAACTAGAACAGTCTACCCCAGTGAGCAAAATAAAGAGTTCAGTTCGACATTCCAACCACCTGAAGAAGGCCAGAACATACAACAGCCGAAACGTAATAAATATGGCGACAAAGATGAGGACAATAGTCCAGTTAATGTAAATAATGTACATAATACCTCATCTCAGAAATATAGACAGATACAAAATTTTTTTATATTAGGTTTTGTAAAACCAAAAATGTATCATGTATGCACATCAAAATGAGATGTTTATTCTTGAGTCAAGATATTCCTTTTTTCACTATTTTTGTATTTCCTGAATACAGGTGCAATGAATAAATTGTCTAAATTACACAAAATAGAAATAACACTAACATCTGATTTTAACAAATGTTAGGGATGATGTGATCGCAGAAATTGTCTGACAGCCTTGCCTAGGTTCTCCTGCTCATATAGCATGGGTCAGAGTCCTGTTGCCAGACATAGTGTCTTCCAGCAGCCACCCTCTTGACCTGGGGCAGCATTACATCCTCAAGTCACTTGATGTAGGCCTCGGTGTTGAGTCTAAGGCCCTGTGATCACTCCAAACACAATGATGTTAACTGGATATTTGGTTTTCATCACTCTCGGTACATCTTTTGGGGACACAGCAAGCCAACAGTAGTTCTGTATATGTTCACCATCTTATCCTGGCAGAATTTTTTTTTTTTCTTTCTATTTTTTGTCTGAGAAAGCATGTTCAGTTAGTGATGAGTTTGTTCAAAAGCTTCATTGCATGGCCTTTCCTCTTGTCCTTCCTGGGATAAAAATTGGCCCTTTTCTTATCTTTTATAAGAAATACTAAATGTCTTGATGCACTACCTGCCTGATAAGAAACCCAGACATCCTGTGTCCCTGTCTACGAACCTGATTGACTTGGAGAGATTGTTGTCAATCATGGCCTGGATCTCACCAACAAATTCAGGGGTTCTTTTCTTATCAGAACGATCAGTGAGTTTTCCAAGCTGCCGTACAATTGTAATCACCAATGGACTCCTCCAGCTCTTTGAGAATCCTCTACACTATTCTCAGATTGACACCCAAACACACTGAAATGTTCGTATTAGAGCTTCTGGTGCAAATGCCAAACAGTACTGCATGCCATATCTGGAGTGACTTACAGTTGACAAAAACAAACAACAGACATGCATGAAATTAAAAATTATGAAATAGTGACAATTTCCTGATCGCACCCTGTATGTGTCTGTTATCCATTTGCCTTTTCATTACTAACTTTCCTCCTCCTCCTCTTTGTTCATTGTTTCTTATTGCATTTTACTAACTCTGTCACTTTTTGCTCCCAACTCACTTGCTGGGCACTGTCTCACATATTTGTGATCTTAGTCCCTGAAATCTCATCTTTTGACAAAAAGAAACTTCAAAAACAAATAACCAGCATCTCAAGCAAAATTGTGTTGTTCTGTTGCAAGATGAAATGTTTTCAGGATAATACTGGAAATGGTCTTAACATGGTGCCTGCTGAGAGTGAGACTAATTAATAATGAGGTGAAGACACATGAAGGAACTATATCAATAGTGTAAGAAACGAGGAACACAATATTTATGCTCAGATTATTATCAGAAAGAGCAATACAGGTGCAGAAGGATGTGTACCTGTGTTTTACAGATTACGCAAAGGCATTTAATAAAGTATGCTACAAAGATCTTTTTGGAACTACTCGGCAACCTTGATATGTTTGGGAAGGATATTAGAATAATCAAGAACCTATACTAGCAGCAAACGGCCCTTTTATATTGATAGAAAATGAGTTTAGCAGATATGCAAAAATAGAAAGTGGGGCAAGACAAGGATATGTCTTCACACCGGACTTATTCAACCAAAACAATGAGGCAATTCTGAGAGAACTAGAAGTCCAATCAGGATTCATTGGCAGCCAAAATCTTAACATAAGATATGCAGATGACACAGTGTTGATAGCAGACATAGAAAGAAAGCTGTAAAAACTCCCACAGAAGGAAAGTGAGAAGAAAGGATTAAACATAAACTGCAAGAATACAGAATGAATGGTTGTTAGTAAAAAGGATGAGTCCAAAATGCAAATTGCAAATCGGAGATACCAAAATCAAACAAGTGTGGAAATTTGAATATCTGGGAAGTGTTTTAACACACTGGGATAGCCAAGGAAGCATTCCAAAAACTAAGAGTACTAAGGAATAGGAAAATTTCACTAGAAGCAAGGAAAACCCTACTAAACTACCGTGTGATAACTGTCTTCCTGTATGGCAGCAAGTGCTGGACAATCCCAAAGATTAATGCTGAGGATACAGTGGATGGAACATATCAGTAACTCTTGACTCATCAGGAGTATCTTTGCCTGACTTTCTACTTAGAACAGTCTCTCTATTGAGTGATATATGCATATAACTCCATCCATGGTTTCCAATATCTCTAAACTGGATCCCCAACAAAGCACGTGGACTTCAGGGTATCCCTGCAATAGGCCTTAAGAAATGTGCCCCCCCTGTACTGTACTCTCTAAACTCTACAATAAATGCCTCGCTGATTCCTGCTTGTTGGAAATCCTCTTCTGCAATTCCAGTCTTTAAGAACTCGGGTGAACTAGCCTTGAACCTGTTTTTGGCAAAGTACTAGATCCCCTAAGTAACTCTGAATTGGTCATGCATCTCACATTGTAAGGTCTTCTTTCAGATAACCCTTATGGCTTTTGCTTCTCTAGGTCAATTGCTAATGTATTAACAGTTATTGCTGAAAGAGTCTATGAAGCTTTAGATAATAATGGTGAAACTTGGATTGTTGTTCTGGATTGCCAAACCCTGTCAAATGCCTTTGAGCTAATTAGTCTTCTTCACAAGTTGAAAGGTCAATGATATTTCTGGATGAATTTTTGAACTGATTTAGTTTTTTTCTTATCAAATCATGAAAGAAATCTTGAATGGCTACTTTTCAAGATCTTTTTTTGCTTTAATGTCGATGTTAACTTTGGCTCTATCCTTTGACCTATAATTGTTCCTAATTTTCTTAAACGATCTTCCCGATGTCATTAGTTCTCAACTTTGTATCTATGCTGATGAGACACCTATTTACTCTCATCTTAATGATAAGTCTGATCCGTTCAATAAGGTCAAATAGGCAGCGGATCTAAAAGAAATGACCTTCAATCTATTAAGTGGGATAACAAATGGCTTGTTAATTTTAATAATGCCAAAATGAAATGGCTCTCTTTTAATCAGCTGAGAAAACCATTTTTTTTTGCCTTTCATCAACATGTCTGATGCTAACCTCCGGAGAGCGACTCATTGTGACACCTTGGGTTAATGTTTTCCACTGACATGAAGTAGAAAGAGCATATTGGACCAATTGTTAGGTCTGTAACTTTGAAAGTGGATTCACTATCAGGCTAGATGATTTTCTCACCAAAAAAAATATATATATTTTATATATATATATATATATATATATATATATATATATATATTCATCCTATTCATTTTTGAATATTGCTACCACATTTGGTCTGGTGCTCCTGCTATATATTTAGAGATTCTTGATAAAATCCAAAGAATCTGTAATGATGTAATGTCTTGACCTGGCATCCCACTTTCAGTCACTTTCCCACTGCCTTAATATAGTTCCCTGTGTCTATTCTATAACTATTTTCATGGTAATTGTTCTGATTAACTTTCATCTATTATATCTAAACTTTATGAATTTAAGTTCAGTACTAGATTGGCGACAAGATCTGATCATTTTACAGTTGAAATTGCTAGGATGTAACCATAAGTTCTATGCTAACAGTTTCTTCTCTCACACTTCTCGCCTGTGGAACTCTCTTCCTGCCTCTAGCTAACCAGTAAATTTTGATATTTTTTTTTTTTTTTTTTTTTTTAAATTTAAATGCAATGTCAATCATTTTCTTCTGTCTTAATTCTTGTTCTTTTATTGTCCTCTCTCCTTAATGGTACTTTTTCTTCTGTTTTTTTAACCCTCATATTCTCTAATACTCAGTAATTCCCTTCCTCTCCCCCTCAGCTTTGCATCTTAGAGGCTTTATTACCTTAGAGTGAAATGATTAAAAAGAAAGTTCTAACAACAAAGATGAGGATCATAGCCCACACATAACCCCTCATCCCAGATATTCAGGTAGAAAGCTTGAAATTGAACATCAAAAAAAAGTGACCTTGTCCTCAACCTTAAAAGATTTATTACACACACAATGCTATTTTGACATGATATTGTTTCGTTTGCAGTTTTCTCTCACTTGATACAAAATATTTTTTTTATTATGAAATCGCTGGAAATTTTTATCTATCATCAAATTCATCAAATTACAATAAATGCCTCCAGACATTCTACATCTCAACAAGTATGACAACTGCAAATATAACCATATGCAATCACCATTGACAATGTCTTCTGATGTTGCTTAATGTAGTAATACAACAGTTGCTCAAGTAAATTGTTGCTTCATAACTCTCAATGTAACGGAACATAATCGGCCTGAGGATAAGAAAAGTTAAATTTTTGAGAGTGGGTGGGGAACTATCTTGCAAATCAACCATTTCAATATCTTTTAAAAGTTTAACTTTTGACAATATGGTGGTGCAACTATAAAATATTTGCCACACTTTGTGAGATGTTGATATGAAGAGTCTGAATAATTGCATCAGATTAAAAGCTGTTTGTATCATACTAACATTTAACTAATAAAATAAATGAATAAACTAAAGTACCAAGAATGCATTAAAGACAACAATACACAAAATGGTTTGTTACTTTCCCTCTCCCTATTTGCCAGAAGGAATTTATCTTTGATGATGACGCATGTGTGACGTTATCAGTAAACAGATATTGTAACTGTGACAGCCAAGGGACAAAGAATTTAACTCCCTTTGACAACTGATTGTTGGAGCCAGAAAGATAGTTCACTCTAGAATTTCCTTTGTCAATAGTGGCAAGGGCTATACCAAGAATATGTGAATCCCAAACCGACAATTACAAGTACACATGAGTGATGCAAGGACAGGCTGATTTGTTTCAGCAAGAAAACACAACCCAGTCATGGAGAGGGCTATATTTTAATACACTTGGCCCACTTCCAGGCAATCTCTTATGCCCTCACCCCATATCTGCCAGAATTAAACCTATATGAAACCTGTCGATTCCCCTAGTCACACCCAGCGAAAAATTCTATTAGAGAGTCCAGAATACAGCCATCCCAGAACCTCATAGACTCCATGCCAAATCATGTAACCACTATTATTCGGATAAAAGGTAGAGCTAAACGGGTTTTGAAGTTGTCTCTAAATTTCTTGCCACTTCAGTTTAAAATGAATTTTTTGCTTGAACTTTATCATTATTTTCTAATTTGCTTGAATTTTTTTTTCTTTCTTTTCTTTATCACTAAATATCAAGGCATTTATCTTGTCAGCTTTCAGTCTCTAGTTTTATCATTTCTTTCTCTAGATCTGGTTTTAACAGATTTTGTTTTTCAGTTGCCAATAACTTCAATTTACACTTGTTTTTTGCTACTTCCATTAATTAACAAAATTACTAAAAGCATTTTAAGAAATTTTCCATAAACACTACCATTATTTGTTTTCGCAGGGCAGGGGGTGGATTTTATTTCTTCTAATCTGTTGTTTTTTTTTGTTTTTTTTTGTTGTTGACTTATTCTGAAGTACATGACATTTTAAATTGAAAAAAAAATCAAACTGGAAATAAACTGGTCATTGGAATTGAATGTTTAAATGAACCCAAAACTGTCCTCCTTTGCATATTAATATAAAATACTTTAAATTAATTTTTATTGAATTAGAATTTTGTATTTGTTTTTGTTATCAGTTGCATATTACACATCCAAAAAAAGATCTTGTGACATGCCAGAATCTGAAAGTACATGCTTCTTTTGAACAATTCATCTAACTTAAGACTATTAATAGAAGATAATGTTTTATAGTATACTATACTTTTCTTCCCAAATGATTGTATTATTAAATAAAAATTAGTTAACTAAATTAACTGCTCTTCCTTTTGATGGAAGAACATTGTGAATAAAAGTTGAAAAAATGAAAACCATATAAATGAAAAAACAAATTCTTTATTATCCTCACCTCCCAACTTTTTTTTTTTTTTTTTTTTTAACATTTAAATGGTCTTAATATCATGAGGGTTATTATTTATTAAATATTCATAAATCTGACAAGCAGTAATTGGATTTGAAACCTGTTGGATCACAAGTGATCATTGCTACTGATAAGGCTTTCAGATTTTTATCTTGATCAGTTGTCTACCCCCAAATTTTTTTTTTTTTAAATCTTAATTTCTGACTTCACTGATGACAATGTCTTTTGTATTTTCTTTCTCATTTTTTTTTTTTTTTTTTGTCTCCACGTCTTTTATGCAATTCTATATAAGTCACACTGAATTAACTGCTTTGGTTGTAGATTTACATAACTCTAGTAAGAGCTTCATGTGTAAGCAGTCTTTTTTTTTTTTTTTTTAACTTTGTGATTTAATGAACTGACACAGAATATTGTTTCTGTGCAAGAATAAGTTAATCCAGTTTTGTTAAAAACAAAAAAAAATCTTTAATTTGTTTACTGCACTCATTTCTGGAATTTAAATAACATCTCAATTCCTTGATAAACTTATTGATCTTTGTCTACAGTGATTTCTATATTTTTATTTGTTACATACATTTTAATCCTTGTACTTTATTAAAAATACATATTTGTCATAAATTAAATTAGAGAGCAGTAAGCAATGAAAGGTAAAATTTATTGAATTTATATTATTATCTTTATTTGATTGACTCAAAAGAATGCACGTGACCCTTTGAATGAATCAAGAATATAATGATCTGTCTTTGTAATTTTGTGAAATCATTTAAGTCAATAATTACCTTTTTAAATAAACAGATGCATTTCAATACTCTGGAAGGAAAAAGACCTTTCCCAATCTAGTTAAATTTCTCTCACCTTTTTAGAGCTTTTCCCTCTTGCTCATCACACATACACACTGAGTGTAACAACAAAATTGTCCAATTAAGCTCTGAATTTAATATTAAACATTATCAAAGATACTGGAATTTGCCGAGTGTTTTATAACACTATTGGACTCTACTTTGAGCAGTAAGAATGTTTATTTTCTAAGCTTAACAAAAAGAATCTTGATGAAATCAATCATAAACAAAAATGACATGTTCATCATTAATTAATCATGGCTAAGAATCGGAAGCTTATGAATTATTGGAATAAAGTTCATATAATATATATATATATATATATATAATTCCATGATCATTTTACAACTTATTCAAGATGATTTTCACCCTCTGTAACTTTTTGTCCTGGAGTAACTTTTTTGTCAGATGGCTGACACGTTTCACATATAATTTCATTTTGACTCTCTTTGTACTATCATAGGTGAAACTCCTCTCTCATGTGTCAGACGTCTTATGAACTGAATTGGATCTTTTCTAATTGATCTCTTTAGCTCTAAGTTGAAATGATGATCCCTCTTCCTGTTGTGATCTCCTAACATAGTTTTCCTCTCTATTGTTTCCTCTTTTTTTTAAACTTATTCCCTGTTCTCTTGATGGTTTTTGAATGGACTTTGAAGATGGAAATATGAATGTTGGTACCATTACTGAAGGCCTGAATGATCTTTTTCCTCTCACCATTGCTCAGTTGAGATACAGTGGGGCTGATGCAAAACAATTTTAACCTGCTTTCATTTTAGCTGAATAACTTGGAGGGTTTGTCAGTGATTCTTACAAAAAATGGTGTCAAGATGGTTAAACATCTGAAAACCTGGAAAAAATAAACTAATTAATGTAATGTTATATATTATGGGATGGATAATTATGCTTTTACATGATTTGGACAATTTTTGCTGTTATATATGGGCCTTTTTTTTTTTTTTTTTTTTTTTAGTACATGAATTTATACCAAACTATTTTTTACTAATCTATTTTAAAAGCAAATGTAATTGTGTCCTAGAACAAGATATTCATTACTTGAAATCCTTTCTTATGCAAGAAACAATTCTAGTCTGTCCATAGTGATACATTGAGAATTACTAAAGCTTTCAGACATTGTTTTACAATATGTTGCCCCACCCTCCTCACCTGTCTGATTAGTTGTTTTTAACATTTTGTCTCTTTTGTGTATGAAACCAGAACGTTTATCTTCGTTGTTAAATGAAGAAGCCAAAGCTCACATATACACCAGTACAATACCGAAAAGAGACTTTGAGCTGACCTACCGACTAGATTGCCGCAACTTGTGTGCTGAATTTCGTGAAGACATTGAATTCCGCTTCTCATTTGGACCAACGGCTTTGATGCAGCGATTCTTGTTTCCAATGAAAAAACAACACTACCTCACAGAGGGAGGCACTGGGGTAAATATACCTTGTCGTCTTTCTCTCTCTCTTTACATTTTTCTTTTATTACATGATAATAATGTTCTGTTACAAGGAGAATTAAGAATCATTATAAAAGTATCATCCATTAATGTAGATATGAAGCTTTTATTCTTGCTTTATTTTCCAGTTCATAACTAAATTAATAATAGCCACAGCCAGGCAGCCATGAACATTTCTGTTTCTTAAGTATATAAAAGGAATACATTTTTTTTTTTCTTTGTATTTACGCAACTGGTTTTTAATTCCAGAATTATGTTTGATGGAACCAATTTCAAGTCACTCACTATGACGTCAAGTAGATGTTCCGTTTATTTTTGTCTACCAATCTGAATATCTGAGAAATTCTTAAATATTCAGGCCGCTAGATGAAACTAAACCTGCTCTTATATAGCCTTCTTAAGCCAATTCTAGCAGAAAACCACTGTAATGCTACAAACAAAACAGGTGTAGCTGGGAAATTAGAAACTCTGTAAGGCAAGAAAGAAAACTCGTGAAAAGAATGATGGCGGAAGTTCTTTCTTTTCTCAAAAATATCAGACAAGTTCATGGTTTTAGTGGACCACGTTGCTGTTGATGCACACAACTTTTGCTAAATTTTTATTTTGAATAATGAATAAGACATGTTGCTTAATGAACCATTGACTTCACAAATGTTTATAACTCTTTTGGTTTGTGTATTTATTCTTGGTCGTTTGGCCACTGCATGGTTGATTTCTGATGGTACAAAAACTTTTTTTTTTCTTCTATATTGCTTTTATGCATTTATCAAATTGCTAAAACAATAATGATTACAAAATATTAGTAAATCCATGAAGAATATTGAAACAACTGGTATTGTGAAATAACTATTCTATTTAATAGTAGTAGATAGGTTCACCTATCATCACACTACTCCCCAGTTTTTTGAGCAGGAATAAAGGTTTCTCTTTTGTTTTTGGTTTAGGATTGAGTTTCCAGTTCCTTCTAAGGTCTTCCCATTCACTTTCACTCCCAGTAGTCCCCACCCCTTTGTGTATTAGTGGCAGTGTTGCCTTTCGACACTCTATAGAAATGCTGATTAAGTTCATTTCAACAATTTGTTTTGAATAACAGTTAATTGTTACTTTTTTTTTTTTTTGTTTCTCCTTCCTCCATTGCTAACAGGTACCGCGACAACAAGTGGTAACTGATGTATCTCAGTCTCGAGACAGTGAAGTTCTTATTGCCATGATGACAACGTTTGCATCGGTGACTTCCCGGACAACTGTGGGAGCTATGGTGTTCATGGGAATGGTAAGTGACCTCAAAGCATCTTAATTATCTCAGAGCAAACCTTTAATTTTAGAGGGTATTTGCAAATATGACGGGTAAATGTTTGGAAATGTATTTTCTGTAAATTGTTCTTTGCTTTGGAGTTTTCAGTAAAATTGTCTTTCTTATCTTCAATGCTGTGGGTGATTCACTCATGGGTGAATGGTCCAAAATCTGAGAGGTCCATGGCAATGTGCCATGTCCCAGAGTTCAAACCTTTGTATTAAGCCCAAGGAGTTCATCATTTTCTGTCACCGCTCTAAGTATGGGGTTCAGTATCTTCAAGATAACCTGCAAGGTAGATTGACTTTTTTTTTTTTTTTTTAAGTTACCTTATTCCCACCTTTGCCTAAAGAGGCAGCAGGTGGTTGAATTAGGCTAGTTTTGTATTGAGTTTTTCCTTCTCCTAAATTGGTTGCTACCCAAGGCTATAGAACAGTCTGATTCCCAAAGATATTAGCATGTATGTGAATGTAATGAACTCTACTGGAATTCACTCAGCTCTCCAATTCCTCAATTGAAGCTTCAGTTACTCCACTACTCCTCCTGTTCTAAATAATTAAACGAGGGTCTTGTTTTATTTTATTTTTCTCTCTCCTCATGAAAACTGAAACTTGACAAATTAAAATGTTGATTATGAATTTTGTACTTCTAGTAAACCCCTTTTTTGTTTGCCAGTTTAACATTATTAAATTGGCTTCCTGTAATTTAGTTTTCAAAGTTTAAACTTTTTTTTCTTCTTTCTTTTATGTTGTATTATAGGTAGCCAAAGCAGCGGGATGGAGAGTGATAGCAGTCAGTGGTGCCCTGTATGGTCTGCTCTATTGTTACGAGAGACTCACCTGGACCAACAAGGCCAAAGAACGTGCCTTTAAGCGGCAGTATGTGGAATATTCCAGTAGCAAGCTGCGTTTGATTGTGGATTTGACCAGTTCAAACTGCAGCCATCAAGTTCAACAGTAAGTCATTCCCAATGCCAGGATTTTAAAACTTTGTCCCTCTGCAACGCCACTCTCTCCCGAAACACATTGTGGGTAGATTTGCTGGTTAATTAACTGTTTATTTCTATTTATGAATCCTTGAAGACTTTCTAATTGATGCTCATTCCTTCTTTGTAGGGAACTATCATCCACCTTTTCACGCTTGTGCCAGCAAGTGGATATATCTAAACAACATCTTGAAGATGAAATTAAAGACATTCAGAAAGACATTGACCAGATGAAAGAAATTGCCTCAAAGTCTAAGACTCTCAGGTAAGAAGAAAAATACCTAAAAAAAGTTGAAAACTTCTTTTAAAATGTATTTTGTACCTATTATTTAAATTGGGAAATGGAACAAGATGTGGGGGATTGAGTGGGTAGGTGGTTATGATCGAAAAGTAGTTAATGATAGACAAACAAAATTTGGGTTTGCTAATTAAATGTTTTTTTTTTTTTTTCTCACCATTAAAATTGTGGCTTATATGCATGTCAGAAAATGTTAATTAAACCTTGTCTAAACTTATGTTCATTCTTTATTATGTAAATTATAAAACATTTGCTGCAAAAAAGTATTTCTTTCATTTTTTTTTATCTACTTCAGGAACAAGGCCGATTGGTTGGACAGTGAATTGAACTCCTTTGTACATCAATATCTGCAACATGAAGTTTGAATTCTTGCTCTTCTGAAACCCAATTCAAAGTTGTGCATGGATTCTTCCTTCCCTTTTTAGCATTTCTTGAAAAGAGCAAAGCAGTTTCACTGCCACTGCTACTGCTGCTGCTACTGGAGGCCTATTTGTTGTTCTTATTGTGCTCGTTATTGTTTGTCTATCATCTCAATTGTAGGTGGGGGAGAGGGGGGGTAGAGAGAGAGAAAAGGAAGTGATCTCTCTTACACTGACCATAAAAACCATAAGAATTACCCCAATCCATTTTTTTTCCTCTCTCTCTCAAATTTAGACAACATAAATTAATGAAATGTCTTATTTTGGATGCGGGGATTCTTCATATAATGGCCAATTTTATTTGTGCTGAATGCTCATTGGCATTTGCAAATGATTTGATGAGTTAGTGTTCATTCTTTGCCGACATATGTCATAGAGAAAGAGCATATATAGTCAAAAGGCTTCTTTTTTTTTTTTTTTTTTTTTCCTCTCTCTCTCTCTCTATCCTTCCTGCCTTTCTCCCTCACTAGAATTTCAAAACATCCTGGCAATATAGAATTATAAAAATGAAAAAAAAAAATAAATGTAGTCCACTTCTGTTCAGTTCATCTACTTCAGCAGACGATGATAATGATGTTTGCTGGAGATTTGAAACATTATGAAGATGATGCAGAGGATGGATTTCCAGTCCAAATAACAAATTCTCCACAGCATCAAGCATTTAGAAAAAGAAGATAAATTTGAATTTAATTCACCATAAAGAAACATTAAAAGAATTATAGAAATGAAATAACTTGTAAAAAGAAACAAAGAAATTTCATGGACATTTAATGAAAAATATCAGGATTTCAGCTTCTTTGCATCTTTATTTGTTTTTTTCCTAATATATTGTTAATGTACATATTGCAAAAGAATTGTTTTATTCAAGTTGGATGCTTTTATTTTGTGACAATTTTATCCTTACCATTAACATATGCATATCCCTGTATCAAGTGCAAGAAATAGATTGAAAATTATATATATATATTTGACAGTTCAAGTGGCTGAATTGATGAAATATTTTTAATGCAATTTTCTTGGCCAAGTTTATAGTCTTTTTGAAGCACAAAAAACTCATTTAAACATTTTTAAATTGTCACAAAATAATTTTTTTTTTTTTTTTCCCCAGAGGAAAGAAAATCATTTGGGGTGGAGGTACAGTGGATTAATGAATAGCAGCTCAGATTTAGGGACTGGTGGGGGAGTCTAGTTTGTTACATTCACTATCCTTTCCCAATGATATTTGTATGTATCTATCAGTAGATAGTAGGGCAGACTGGGTCCTATAGCCTTGGGTGGCAATCAGTCAATTCTGAATTAATACCTGAGGAGGGTCATTTGTGGCCTTGTCGCACACTGTGCATCAGTATTCTGTATTTGGTCAGCTCTTCCAAAAAGTGTGGTTGATTATTTCAACTCTGAAGTGTGAGTAAAGAAAAAAATGTCTGCTAAATTTACTGCTGCTGATTTGATCTATTTTGATTCTTTAAAAAAAAAAAATATTCCTTTAATATTCAATGGAAAAAAAAAAAAGACCCAACAGACTAACACTTAAAATGTTTCTTTTAAGCTAGGTACTGTTTTTATTATTTACTAAGTTTCATATGGCATAAGGCCACAATAACAAACAGAAAGCGATCAAACTCTATACACAGTAATATTAATTTTGTATGTGTGTTCATTCCAAAGACGGTTTGGGCTATTAAATTCTTTCAGATAATCCATTCTGTAAACTTCAAGTGGATAAGCCATAAAGAAAATTCCAGAATATTCTCTCAACATATTTCAAGCAATGGTAGCCACATAACCAATTCCATTGTCAGTCACCCATGGAATATATAATAGCTGCCTACTAGTTGGACAAGCATGACCATTGCTGACAATGCAAGAGCAGCAATGACTCTTGATCCTAGCAAGGGACTTGCATTCTTTGCCACATACCCAACATACTAGCTCTGTCCGATTTCTTTAATGTCCCAGCTGAACAGGTGACCAGTGTGCCTTTAAATGTCTTGTAAAACCTGAGTGGCTTTGCTCATTGCCCATGTAAAAGGTTCTCTATTGATTAAATTGTTGGTGGGATCAAACATGGCTTTGCAGATTGTCTATTGATTGTAGGCCTACTCTGCCACACAAATTATGGGACACTTGAGTCTACTTGCTCTTCTTTACAAGCTGCCCTTTTGGTCTTTACCCAAGTTATAGGATTTGATCAGCAGCTTCTCCAATTGCTTCTATCACATGTCAGGTATTCCAAAATGGAAAGAGCTATTTGGAATCATGTTCTCTATGCACCTGCTTTGGAATACGAGTATCATCAGCTTGTACCACATTGATGACTGTGCTTGTGTATTTGTGCTTCATTGTTGAATGTGTTTGCTTTTCCCTAAACTGTCTGTGATGTGAACCTAAGGCAGCACTGGTGAAAACATTCCAGATAACCCATGTCTCCCACAAGTATAGAAGGCATGTTAGAATGCAAACATTGTAAACCTCTATCTGAGCCCAAAAATGGTGTTTTAGAGCAGAGAAATCATTAGTGGCCTTTTATTCCTGTTCTTTGCCTTAAAATGAAAAAGAAATTTCATCATCTCAAGAGAGCAGTAACAGTTCATTGTGCTACCAAGGCATAGAAATATCAAGTTATTCCCATCGATGTAGCTGGAAATTTTGAGTAAAGCATGCCTGGCGCTAGTTGGAACATTACAATTGTTTTGGATACCAAAAGTGTTGCAAGATTTTGACGTGTCCTTAAAGCGTCGTATATCAGTAGCAATCTGCAAAACCAGTTCAGTCATCAGCATATATTAAAGGGCTTGCCAGTACTACAATACCTTACATAGAGTCCTTGATTGCAATCCTGAAATGGAAAAGAAATTTCACCCATTTCTACCTTTTTATTGGTTGACATGTCACAGAAAAACTTAAAATGCTGAGGGACAGCCAAGTTTTCTACGAATGGGCCAGAGTGCTATACTGTTAACCATATCAAAGGTCTTTGAGATTGCCAAAGACCTGATACATACATTTCTAGGACCTGGCATACTGTAAAGATCATGTCCATGGTACACAAACTGGAATTCTGGAAGAACATCCTCAGCTCTTAGATCTGTTACAAGACTACAATATTTCAGACAGGATTTTCCATACTGTTAATAGGAGAGAGACAGTGTGAAGTTTCCACTGTCTTCTCAAGTACTATTCTTTACCTTTGTACAAAAGTAACATAATGACACCTCTCCAGTAGCATAGATGTCTTGGATGACTATGCATTATATGAGCAAGATGGTCTCCACCAAACTGAAAGATCTTGACAAAAACTGCTTTCAGTTTGACAATAGCAATGCAAACATCTAGAGTGGGATCTGCAAGTAATTTGTGAGTCAGTCTGTTGAGACAAACAACAGTCTGTTGAGACAAACAACAGTCTGTTGAGACAAACAACAGTCTGTTGAGACAAACAACAGTCTGTTGAGACAAACAACAGTCTGTTGAGACAAACAACAGTCTGTTGAGACAAACAACAGTCTGTTGAGACAAACAACAGTCTGTTGAGACAAACAACAGTCTGTTGAGACAAACAACAGTCTGTTGAGACAAACAACAGTCTGTTGAGACAAACAACAGTCTGTTGAGACAAACAACAGTCTGTTGAGACAAACAACAGTCTGTTGAGACAAACAACAAACAACAGTCTGTTGAGACAAACAACAGTCTGTTGAGACAAACAACAGTCTGTTGAGACAAACAACAGTCTGTTGAGAGACAACAGTCTGTTGAGACAAACAACAGTCTGTTGAGACAAACAACAGTCTGTTGAGACAAAACAACAGTCTGTTGAGACAAACAACAGTCTGTTGAGACAAACAACAGTCTGTTGAGACAAACAACAGTCTGTTGAGACAAACAACAGTCTGTTGAGACAAACAACAGTCTGTTGAGACAAACAACAGTCTGTTGAGACAAACAACAGTCTGTTGAGACAAACAACAGTCTGTTGAGACAAACAACAGTCTGTTGAGACAAACAACAGTCTGTTGAGACAAACAACAGTCTGTTGAGACAAACAACAGTCTGTTGAGACAAACAACAGTCTGTTTTTATGAATTGCTGTGTGGAGGTTATTCTAATGTTTTTCTCTCATGTTGTTTTAGTTCCAAGGTCTTTCATTACACTGTAGAGCAGAGTACGTTAATTGATTTTATTTTTTTTTTTTTAAATCAACGTTGCACTTTTGTAAAAGCTGGAGTTTGATGTGATAAATACTGATACCAAATATTAGATTTGTAGGCTTACCAATTTTTATTGAAAATTATACGAAAAGTACTGCACTGTATACCATTACATCTTAATATAGCTAAAATGTTCAGTATAATTTCTCTTTCAAGTAAATGAAGGTACCATTTGATGACACAATGGTTTTAGTTTAGTGATGTGATTTTGCCATGCATCTTGTCTATATAAAGTTTGTAAAGCTTCAGTAAATTTTATAATGCTTTCACTGATGACCAGAATGAAATTCCAACCCTATCATTTTAAACCTAATCTTTAAAATCATTTCCTCTGTGATTTAAATGTCATGTCATCTTGTATGGTTTGCACAGTGAATTCAACTTTAGCTGAATGAGGCTTAAATTCCTCATTCAGTTAATGTGGTGGCTTCCTATCTTATTTTTAGCAGATACAATTGCTATAATTACCTAATTGCTTTTTGTCAGTGTCTTTAGCAGCATTATGGATTTAGTCTCCTGTAAGTCTGCAATATCAAGACGTTTTGTTTGATCCTCAACCATCTTAAATTTTACTAGGGTATGATATTCCAAACACCACACAGCAAACATGGCACACATTTTGCATGTTGTGCCTGCAGAAAATGACAGTCAGGAGTTCTCAAAAATATTCTATCATTTAATAAATTGGCTTACAGTGATATCACATTAAAACACCAGTTCTCATACAATCACTGA